AATGTGTTCAAGATTATTTCAGCAAAGTTCCAGCTCGAATGAAAGAGTTTTAATTTTGGAACGATTTTCGTCCAAGTGGCCCTTTAAAGCTAAAAGCTTGTGGGCCTCGTATCAGTCCATACACACTTAATACATGGAATATTCTATACACACAACGCTCGACTGATGTTCGTTTCCCAGCAAGGTCAGAAATTAATTTTTCCGAATTTAATTCCAAGGGCTTTCGCCCGGAATAACCTCGTTCCCAAGCACTATAACTTATCTATATTTCTATATCTTCATGCTCGACTGATATGTTGATTTTTACGGAGGGAGAAAAGCCCTCGTGGAACAGGAGAGAACAACTCATCAATATCGTCCTCACTCGAGCCAGCCCTAAACCCCCGTTGGACTCATAGCAGCTTACGCCGCCCGGAAACAGCTGTCACACTCTCTAACGGACTGTGGCCTTCACGTAATTAGATATTATGACCAAATCCAGTGTTCAAGAAATCTGTTTAGGATAATGTCTCACTTGTAAAAAGTTAGGAATTATMTTTCAGTAATAGACGTAGCCTGCGTTCAGCCGGTTTAATTTCTCTCGAAATAACCGGTTGTTTCGAAAGAGAGAAATTATACCGGCTGAACGCAGGCTAGAGTAGTAAAGCAATAAATTAGAAAGCTACTCGGATCGGTACTCAGACAGTAAACTTCTGAGATTGTCTCTTTTTTCTTCAAACTCAGTCCAATACCTGTTCGCTCTTGGCTAAGCTGCTTAGTCTCTCTCTGGGGTTTTTTCCGAATTTCCGGTTCTTCAGACACAGAGAGATTTTCTGGCTTTTCGGTTTTTCCCTCCTCTCCTAATCGAATTCCACCTGGCTAGAACTCCGGGATCATACATGGACTGTAAAGCTGTTGTCAGAAGCACTTTGTCATTTCTTCCAATTCGAGCCGGTTAAGCTAACAGTTGAAGTGTTTTTAATACCAAGCTATGGTAATTAGTGCACCCGACCCGTCCGCCAAAGCAACATATAAAATATTTCACAGCGCACTTGCTGTATGATGGTGATGATGTTGGTGGTAGCTTTGGTTGTAGTGACTTTGATTATTTCGAGATTATTAGTGTATTATACTGATACTTGTGAGGCCAATAAATAGGAAGTTCGTTTCATAAATTGGCAGACTCGCGACCTTGGAAAATATAGCTTAAGGCATTTCCCCTTTGTGGTTTCTCTATCGACTATCTAACGACGTAAGATATATTCTCGAATGATGTTAGTAGCCGTCATTTTGGGGGTTACCAAAGACTGACGCAACATTGTAGAAAAAATACTAGTCATGAAAAGATTGATGCACAGTGAATTATTAGAGAATTATTAGACAATTTAATATTGTTAGAAAATTGTCGTAGTTCTATATTCATATTGAACAATGATTGGGTCAATAATGAGTGATATTCTCTGTAGGGGCGGGGAGTCTGTCATAGGTCGCACAGTAGGACACTAACAAAATCTCGTGATATTTTTAGTATATGTCTTCAAAAGACACCTTCCTTGCAATTTCCTTCCCGTGGTGTGAAAATGCACCGTTAGACACAGGCTTTGCTCCAAGATTTGGTTTAATCTGGCCTGTTGAATCTATACGCTTTATCGTAAGGTATGAACTTAGTTCTGTAAGTGGTACTCAAAGGGATACACACAACAATTAATGGATTTACGAGAGCGTATCCCATTGAGGATCATGGAAACAAAATAACTAACAGGTATCGTTATTATTGTTATATTCTGATGTGCTATGCACTCAGTCTCTGCTCAGCTGAGTCTCAGCTAGGAAATTACATACTGTTGTGTTATCATGTTCACTCGCCCTTTGAGATGGTTATATTTTAACAATAAGGACTCACCAGCATTCTAGATTATCCGCTTGGGATTCTGACCCTTATTTTTAACAGGTCATCCGAATTCTAGAACTGTGATTCGTAAAATATCTTACCTAATTAAACCAAGACGATAATCGCGTTACATCCATCCCAAATCTTTTCAGATATAGTAGGCGGATTATCTAATGTTTAAACCAGCAAGATATCTGGTCGGACAACTTTGTGTAAATCCAGCCCTAATACTGCTCTATTACTTTCTTTAGTTTAGGTATTTTAGTTTTTAGTTTCACACGTGCATATATTATCTGTTTAAGAAATATAAAACGCGCGCACATGCCTCTGCAGTCGAATATAAACAAGTTCCAGATGTAGAGCACGAGAGAAGCATGCAAGCTGAAGAAATTAAAACGAGCGTCCTAGCAGCGCTTGAGTCTTTCTCTTGCTTTTCGAGTGCTCTGCAGCTCCAAGAGTCTTTATATCACAGTACAGAGACATAAGCAATTGTTTTATATTGCTTTTATAAAATATTCTTGGATAAAGCCTGTCTCTGTGCAGTAATTAAAAGTAGAACTAAACGTTTGCAGAACAGCTTCATCCCCAATGCATTAGAAATGGGACGCATCACCTTGACTTTAGATATAGTATTATCGCATATACATAATACACAATTCAACAATCAACGCATCGCATTTTTACACATGTAAATTTTTTGTCTTTTATTATTGTATATACTTTTACATATATCTATATATCTATATATATTATTGTAATCTTGAGTATTCAAGAGCAAGGTCCCCTTCACAGTTCCCTGCGCCATCTTGAAAGGTAGCCGTGCCTTTGCATTGCCGTGCCTTTGCATTGAAGCGAAACGAACGGTGAGCTTGCAATGATAGAGACCTTTTTTTAACACTTAAGACAATCGTATGTATTGAAGCTATTATTATTATTACTATTACGATTTAAACACGGTAGCCAATCAATCAACAAACATACATACAACCATTAATGCATCTGTTTATTAATATTCATTTTATCGCTGTGTTATATACCTTATTTACGTATTACTAAATCATCTCTTTAAAAAAAGGTATACGCGTATTATACCTAGCTTATAGGACTTATAGCTACACAGCTTTCAAGCTTCAAGCTTTAACGAAAACGGAGTGTAGCTAACTGCCRATGGTATAGGGTACAAAGTCGAGAGTCAAGGGTACAAAGGCGAGGGCCGGGTATCAAAATCGCGAGGTTACCAAGAATATTTTAACGTTTTTTAAATAATCTCTTTATAGTTAAAAAATAAAAAATATGTTTTAGAAAAATCAACAATAGCTAGCCTTTCATTGTAGATACGGCGTTGGGCTGACTATGTTCAACTTTTCACTATCTATCCTACCAAGAGAAAATGAACTAAGAGAAGGAATCACCGTGCCCCATCATGGGCACAYTTTGATGCTATTTTCAGATTCATTGATGCTATTTTTAACGAAAAGCGCCATATTTCGCTACGTCCACGACAAAAACACAGGCTTTGTTTACTGCAAGACTGGAAGCCGCCTACCCTCAAGAAATCAACCAATCAGGTTCTTCGCTCAAAATATTTCCAAGCTAAAAATAGCATCAAACTGTGCACATGATGGTTACAAAGCTATATAGGTAGGATTCCTTCTCTTAGTTCATATTCTCTTGATCCTACACATTGCTCAAATTTTAACTAGATTGTCATCTGTTTTGCTTTCTTTAACTTGTGGAATAATCGGGTAATAGTATACTTTGTAACCTAGTGACATGCAATGAGTGATCTGTCGTTGATGGTTTGCATTTACAGCCTGATAATATCTTTTTATTCGTGACCTACATTTTTTATACATTACCTACATTTTCAATTGATATGGCAAAAATTACTCTTACAGAAATTCTATTTTTTAACACCTATATTTATGCAAATATATCTAACGTTCTCAATATGCCCTTTATTTTTTGCCCATCGAAATTCAGTTTAGATTAATAATATCTATCGAAAGCTCAGAAGTTAATTTGTTTTAAATATCACTTGTCAAAAGTATGCCTTCGATTTTTTTGATAGTCTGCTCTGTTGCTTTGTTACACGTTCCTGCAAGTTACAATACAAAACTGAAGATATCTCAGGAGAAAACAAAACTTCGTAAATCGGAGACACACTTTTGAAGAACGACTACCTGACATGATCTGAGATGACCATAAAATTCGAGATTAATCGGCTAAATTCGATCCCTTTGGCAAGGCAAGGCAATTTTCGAGACCAAACTTTTTCTGTAGATGGAGAATCCTCTGTTCAATGTTTTGTGTGCTGTTTTTGAGCTGTTTTCTTCTTTTTATCGCAGCTGGAGCGTGGTTTTGCCCATGCCAGACGGACTCTTAGGCCTTTCTCGACTTTCTGACCTTGCTTCTTTCTCTGGCAAATGTCATCTTCATCATCCCGGCTGACTCAACAGCACGAATTAACGTGCATGATTTGCTGTGACCTCAAAGGAAGACTAGCACGTATATCGTCAGAATTTCCGCTGAAACTTTACTGGAATAACCCTTAAAGGTCTAATAATCACTGGTTAAAGTTTTGTTCTGATATTCGGATGGGAAATATTATATTTTTGCGAACTTTTATAGAAGTATGTGACGCCATACGCTCAAAACTAAACATCACTACATACATTTCTTTGCTTTTTTAATCAGAATAACCACTAGTTTTATACTCAGTATATGAAGAAAAGATACCATAAAATGATTCTAACTAAAAGTAAAGTACGTTAAGTCCCTCAGCGGACCTTCTGGCTTATAGAAATAAAAAACATAAAGTTATTGAAGAAATGTATGGAGCAATGTTTAGTGTTGAGTGTATTGCCTCACGACACATAGAAATTCGTTAAAATATAGAACTTCATATTGGAATATAAAGAAAAAACTTTAACCAGTGATTATTAGACCCTGAAAGATTAATTTATTGAAGTTTGAGACGAATAAAATTACGGAAGATCTACGTGCTAGTACCCCTTTAAGAAGATCCAGTATATTGGCCGATAGGCTATATTCTTCGTATAGGCCTTAAGAATGTGGGTCTGTTACACATCAAAATGCAGATTTTTCCATATAGTAATCAATTCAGCTGCTCCCTTTTTGATTGGTYGATTTTGTAGCTATATTTATAGGTTTTTTTGTGTGCATGTACGTGTGCTGAAATATGAAGAAAGCCATAGAAACATTGACCTCACGGATGATCAAAAATTCCAAATTGACCGGAGTAGAAATTAATCTACGAGATCCAGAAAACTAAAAGCATTGAAAAGATATGTTATTTTTTCGCTTTCCGTTGCTACCTTTTTCATGATTTTAGAAGAGATGAATATATCCGACAAAATATACAAAAAATGTTTAAATTTGCCTGTTTGGCCGTAATTTAGTAGGGGTTGTGAGCTTCAGTTTCCGTTTGTTGACCTTTTGTTAAGCGTGAGTTTCATATGGTGTTTCCAAGGGTTATATATTCTTGTTCGTTAGATAGGTAAGGGGCTTTCATACAGATCCCAACAATCCCCACTAAACAACAGTACTACACTAATTCCCCCCCCCCCTCCCCCACCCCGCTTTTATATGACAAATCATCAACCTTAGCTTTTTTTTAGTTTTGCGCAGATCTGAGAGCTATTCTCTCAGGGAGAGGTTTAACATCATTGGAATAAAAAATGCCAAAGGACTCCTTAGTCAACACGAAAGTAATACTAGTGAAAGATGGTTATGACGGACATATTCAGACTATGGATGGCCCTGTCTCTTGGTTCGTATCCATCTGTTCATCTTTTTCAAGTCTAGTCGTAGTGGGGCTTGCCTACTCGTATGGGATCATTTTCCCTAATATTTTGGAAGAGTTTCAAGAACCAAAGTCAACAACAGGTAACGCACTAACCCCTAGCTTTTTTGTTTTTGTTTTTGTTTTTGTTTTTTGATTAGCGCTAACCTAGGGTTAAAGAGTGGGTTAAATTTAAACCAACTCGCGAGGTGGTTTAAATCGCTAAACTAGGATTAAAATAAAGATTATGAAAACAAAATGGCGGGTCTCTTGTTCAATTTTTTCGCACAGCAAAGAAAAGATCGTATAGATATAGATTTAAAAGCTCTTCCATCGAGAAATACACTGACAGCGAACTTGTGTGCAATACAGATTCGGAAGAGAAGCCATTATTCACACGAAAAATCTGATTTACGAGTACCTAGAGCGAAAGACAAGAGACGAAATCATGCTTAAAACGTTCGTAAACTTACTTTGCAAAACCTCTGAACTCTCCTTAACTTTTTTGGCTAAGACATCAGTCCGATGCAATAAAACTAATTTTTGCGTTCTTTTTTATTACAACGTTTACTTCGTTTACAATTTTAACTTCAAGAGGTGAGCCGCCATCTTGAAAATAACATAAACACTGGTGCATTTTGGGTCGATGGTGCTAATCGTAGATTAATTAACCCACTAATCTAGCTTTGAGACAACGATATTTAAACCACAGATTAACTAAACCGCGATTAGAGAATTTAAACCCGGTTTAGGCCTAATTCGAGGTTAGTTTAATCGGGGTTTTGAACAACCGGGCCCAGGGTACGTAACCTCCGTATATATCCTTCCTAAAGCGTTTATACAGAATTCCTCGAGAGATAAGAATGACAAAATTAAAAAAAAAGTAAATGAATGCATAATTCTAGTTAATACAACGACTCATTGTTTATCAATTTCATTCAATTCAACAACATGGTGACTTGTTGAATACATGTTAGTTTATAACTAGATTTAATGAATTTGAATAAGAGCTATAATTGGGAAACCCCCCCACGATTTTTCGACCCGATATAACCTCTTACGGTCCTGTTATATCGGACGAAACACCCAAAGGCGCCGCACGAAAGAGGTAATCTGCACAATGGTTTTACTCATTATAATATATGTTTTTAYATCAATAGCATTTGTTGGCTCGTTGGCCATCAGCTGTACGGGTTTTCTTGGTCCAGTGTCGGCTAGACTTATTGACCGCTTTGGATGTCGTGTAATGATGATATGTGGTGGTCTGACATGCGCAGTTGGCCTTCTCTCATCATCCTTTTCACCAAACATTTATGTTCTCTTTCTAACCTATGGCATCTGCTTTGGTTTTGGTACAAGCTTTGTGTATATGGCCGCTTTTCAGCTTATCCCACTCTACTTCGAACGTCATATATCTTTTGCCACGGGTCTTGCATCTGCTGGACCTGGGATCGGCCTCCTACTCATGAGCCCTGTCGTTCAATCTCTGTTAAACTACTTTCATTGGAGGAAGTGCTTTATGATCTTAGCTGCGGTGAGCCTTGTACCAGTTGTCTTGGGATGTAGCATCAAACGAAAGAAAAAACATTACGAGGTGAAAACAGAGGTGACCGAAAAAGAAAACCAGCCAAGTGGACGTTGCTGGACTACGCCTGACGTTTCTGTTTTAAAAGATTCGATGTTTATGATTTTATGTGCGACCATGGTCATCGCATGTTTAGGCCTGGCTATCCCCATCGTTCACTTGGTAAGTAAGAGTAATAGTAGAGCAAGGAACGCGGAGCACGAAGTGTGTGAGCAGTAGTGGTGGTGGTGGTGGGATCTTCTTAGGTCCGACATGCTGTGTTTTATTTTAGCATGGTTTTCGTCGAGTAGTCTCTGAAGTGTGCTTAATTCTGGTTATCCTCAGATTTCCTTATCGCGACAACGACATGATATTTTGGATTCCYTGTTTGTCGTTCATCGTCACGTGTTGAATTGTGGCATTGCCCAATCGGTGATTGTCTGAAATTTGAGGCCATCCTGTTTTGTCATTAGCACGCACAAGTAGCATACAGTCGATTAGAGTGTTATTCTATTTTGCTACACCCTGCGCTGAAGAGACCCAATCAGGATCAAAACGATTGTACGCAGTTGCATTTTGACTTTTAGTTCTCATCAAGAGAAAATTAACTATTCATTTATAGTCTCTTGTTTGGTTTTTATCATGTCGTTGCGTGTCAAGGAGGCTCGCGCGCGCTCTATGGCCGATGACGTAGAAATTGCAATCGAACCCGCAAAAATTTTGGTTTTGTCTTATGTTTTCGAAAAGTTAAGGAAAATTTAAAAAAAGAAAGAAAGAAAGAAAGAAAGAAAGAAAGAAA